ACTCGATTCTTTGAGTTTCGGCTGCGCTTTTAGCGCGGCTGAAATCCGTCCAAGGGCCAATCAAGTCACATCGATAAGGATCGATGGGATTCCAGCTGCGTCGAAACTAGAAGCCGATACTTTAAAAATCACGTTGTGTTTCGACTTTAAAATCAAAACTAACTTCAACTCGAAATTCCATCAGCCCCGGTGTGATGTGATGCGTGTGAATATGTAAATTAAACCTCGACTCGGAAACTGTGGGGGCTGACATAGTGGATGTCGCATGTCGACATGCTCTCAGATACGGTAGCTCAAACCATTGGCTACGTAATAATACCTGGCATCTCATTTCTTGCGCACTGTTTCCACGGGCCATCTTATTTTGGTGGGCAGCGCTTAATTGTGGCCTCGTGGCTAGTGCTTTCGATGCTCTCCCCTGAAATGGAAGCGTTGCACCAGCTAGCCGGAGGTGGCCGAAGCGAGGTCCGGTCGGGAAAACAGGCCTCTGTGGCGTCGCGTCGTTACCATCTGGCTCCTGTGCGTCGATAACTCAAATTACTTGCACACGAATTTCTCCTGCCTCGGGCCCGTTCCTTCGTGGCTGCATTTCCCTCTTTCCTTCTCGCATGTTGCACTGGCTTGGCCCTTCTGTCTTTTGCCCCATGATGATCACTTTGCCTTCAAATCTTCTTGTCACCCTCAGACTGCGACAATCGAGCAGCTAAAACTGGGGAGCTTCTCGTTGACATGCAGTGCATCATGTCATGTCCCAGCGGGATAGTACTGGTCATCCCACCCCTCTGTTTTCCCGTGTCACACCTATTCTGAGGTTTCTGTCCGCCTAGTGTGACTTGACATGACTGGTGATAGATACAAAAGCCTCGATTTTTGCTCTAGCTCGGGAACTTATATTTTGGGAGCCGGCAAGGCAGGCTTGGCGGCCCGAAATTGGATGGAGAACCACGAACCCTAGCCCAATAGAAGGTGTGGGAGCTAATACGGACACGATCGTAGTCATGTCGGGGAATCCCTTTAACCCCGCACTTCTGTTGGCCTTTTCTTCCCCTACGCCTGCCACCACTTCGATTCGCAGTGGATATGGGTCGATTCCAGTTCCTCCTTCCCATCTTATGGGTTATCTCCATGGCTGGGCACGCCTTGAGCGGAATCATCCAGATCTCTTCTGTGTATGTCGTTTCTTTTTTTTCGTTTTTAATCTTGGTCAATTATTAACAACGGCCTCCTTAAAGAACCGGTGTCTCGATATGTACGTCTTCCACCTGGCTATGAAATCTGTCATCATCTGTGCCTCTTCAGTCCAGTGCGGTACCTACCTCTTCAAGTGGAGTGGCGGACGGCGTAAGTGCCACATCACGCTCCGCAGCTTGCCTAACTCACGAACCATGGGGTTCCTTGCCTCCATTAGCACCGTACAAGCTAGTACGTTGGATTTTTACCTCTCACGGCGGATTCATCTAACCCTCCGATCTAGGCGTAGGCTCATTCTCTCATTCATCGGTGTCCAGCATTCTTAGTATCCGAATTACCAGTACCGGGAACGAGGTCATCGCTACCGGTGTAACGAGTTTCAGTTATGAGTGGACGGTCAACTATGCCGCTGGTGAGTATTTTGAAGCGAATTATACAACAGTTCAGGGGGTTAAGAAAGTTCTCAGGGGCAGTAGTAAACTTCGGAGTCACGGATGGCTTTGGAGACTCCGGAGTGACGGCCACGTTCGTCGTGCTGGCTTCGAGTGCGTGTGATGACTTCCTGCCCATAAAGAAACTCATGCTCATAATACCACTCATCATCTTACACAGCGGATAGCAGCTGCCTCAGAGTGTGCGATGGTATTTTTCTCCCATCAAGTTCGTTTACTGAACAGCCGTCTGTCGTAGGACTCAAACACCCGGGCTTCGTCCGTAAGACCCTTCATATATGTCGTTGGTTTCATCATGCCATCTGCTGAGGAAAATCTAGGACAACGACCAACAGTCAGCCAACGGTTACACCACCGTACGTACACCCACCCGAATTTATTCGGCTTCACTCATGATCTGACTATGATATCCAATGACTAGGGTCTTCTCAGGCTCAGGGGATTCCCTTGACGTAGGGGCCATCGCCGGCGGTGTTGCCGGCGGCGTGGTCGGGATCTTACTGCTGGTGCTTGTCTTCCGTTACTGCCGCAGACGGAAAGGAAAAGCTGAGGTGGCTGCGGCTACGCCCGGGGAGCTCGAAAGCGCGGGTCGAAAGCCAGTGACGCGCGGCTCCTCGACTAAAGGTAAGTGCACCCCACTCCCCTCGATCGACCAACTTCATATTGTTCTTAGAACCGGTTCCTCAGATGGGATATACGGCTGCGTATGAAGACGAGCACAAGTCGCAGCCCTCGGAGGAGAAGGAGCAGAGGATGTTGCAGCCTGCTACTGCACCAGCTCCGCCGCACCGGAAGGAGATCCAAGCGTCGGTCGCGGAGCTGGGTTACGAGCAGAAGACGTTTTCACAGAGAATGGTCGTTAATAATCCCACCACGCCAATCCAGGGGCGCCGGATAGGCGAACCAGCGGTGGAAGAGGAGGGTCGGACAAGGACGACGACCACACCAGGTCAGCCCCGAAATCTGTAGCTGATTCCATTTATCCGTTGTTTAGATTCCAAGACGGTGATGAGCTGGGAGCCGCCGGCGAGCCAAGCATCCTCTTCAGGTATGATCATCAACATCTATCCGATCTTCCACTAATGTGTCCGCTGACGCTCAGTTGTAGCTCCTCCTTCGACCTCCCCGCGCGAACAAGAGCTTGAGCAACGTCTCCGGGTATTGGAGTCTCATCTAACATCGCTCGACGACGCGCCGCCGTCTTATAATGACAAAGATTGAAGATATTCCACAAGTAATTAGTTTGTCGATATGATTCCCCGGTTCCTCCTTTCCCCGTTCATTGAATTGTTGGAACTACACGATGTTATGGTTGGCGTTCCCGGATGTAGTTTCGCATAAATGACAATGGTTTCCCTTCAATGACGTCTCTAGGGATGGGATTGTGTCATTGCGCCAGACAATACAGTCATTCCACGGTCCTTGCACATGATTTTTTGGGGGGCCCGAAAAAAAAATTGTTGCCCAATCCTTCAACTGGATCCCTTCGGTTGCATGTCCTGCCCTTCCTCAAAATTTCCCGGTGCTCAGGGGTATGATGTGGCTGTGCAATTTCGACAAGATTGCCTGAAATTGTATTAATCGTAGATATTCACGGTAAAATCGACCTCCGATACCAGTTTGACGTTAAGGTGTTGCAGGGGGGAACCTTCCGCCATCGAGCCATTATTGGTCTGGTTTGTAACCTGAATAAAGGTGTATTCATTTTGTGGTAGTTCGCTGGTGTGCTCCACCTCGGAATACATGCCTTACAGCCAGTTGCGGAACTTAGGGCGCGGCCCGATTTTTTTTTTTTTGGATGTTTCGGATATTTCAGCTCTACTGAGCTTAGTTCCTCACTAATTCCCTTGAAACTATGATCAATAGATTTGGCTTGCGATTCCAGAGGGAATGACGTTCGAAAATATGTTAGAAGCGTGGGAATTGCCTATTTCGGCAAATTGTGAGGCATCTTCTCCTATCAGCTCTAGCATTACAGCTAGTTGCGGAACTTAGGGCGCGGCCCATTTTTTTTATTTTTATAGATGTTTCGGATATTTCAGCTCTACTGAGCTCAGTTCTTCACCGATTCCCTTGAAACTATGATCAATAGATTTGCCTTGCGATTCCGGAGGGAATTACGTTCGAAAATACGTTAGAAGCGTGGGAATTGCCTTTTTCGGCAAATTGTGAGGCATCTTCTCCTATCAGCTCTAGCATTAAATCTACTGATCCGATTGACTTAGTTTTTGGATATATCATACTTATATGCGTTACCTAGGATGTATCGTGCCCAGATAAGGATTAAAATGTTTTGTTCACATCTGGCATGGGACTTAAAACTGATTGAAATTGAATACAGTAAGGCTTTTGAATAATGAGGTATTTTGACGATCTGGGCACGACACATCCTAGGTAATGCATATAGGTATGATATATCCAAAAACTAAGTCAATCGGATCAGTATATTTAATGCTAGAGCTGATAGGAGAAGATGCCTCACAATTTGCCGAAAAAGGCAATTCCCACGCTTCTAACGTATTTTCGAACGTCACTCCCTCCGGAATCGCAAGGCAAATCTATTGATCATAGTTTCAAGGGAATCGGTGAAGAACTGAGCTCAGTAGAGCTGAAATATCCGAAACATCTATAAAAATAAAAAAAATGGGCCGCGCCCTAAGTTCCGCAACTAGCTGTAATGCTAGAGCTGATAGGAGAAGATGCCTCACAATTTGCCGAAATAGGCAATTCCCACGCTTCTAACATATTTTCGAACGTCATTCCCTCTGGAATCGCAAGCCAAATCTATTGATTATAGTTTCAAGGGAATTAGTGAAGAACTAAGCTCAGTAGAGCTGAAATATCCGAAACATCCAAAAAAAAAAAAAATCGGGCCGCGCCCTAAGTTCCGCAACTGGCTGTAATTTGAACCTAATACCGGTAAATTTCGCGCCGACAGTCGGATGAAATTTCAACCCTGTCAGTCAGCAGAGAGTTGAGCAAAAACAGTGCACCGCCTGCTTTGTTGCTGGAGCCCGAGTTAAACGGGTGTTTCCTGCATAGACCGATCTTCTAATCATCCAACATATGCAGGCGCGGACCGTCCGCCCTCAAGCTGTGCTTAGTTTCCTTTTAACCTGAATACATGTGCTCACTTTTCAGCGCCGTCCTTCATTCTCTCTCTCCCCTCGAGTTCACGTTATAACGAGCCGGGTGAAATTCAATCCGGGACACAGGTAAGAGTTATACTGGAATCAGAATTGGCCGGGGAGGAAGGGAGGGTCCGACCGGCAGAGAGATAGAGGCAGTTGAGTATCTTGATACGGAAAGAGGATTCTGGACCTTGAGGAAAAAGAAATCTAGGAGACAACTTCCCTATGGCTCGAGCCCGAGTCGAACGGGCATCTCCTACATTAACACCTGTGCATAGTACGCCGATGTGATGTAGGCGCGGACCGTCCGCCATCGAGCCGATACAACGTTGGTTGGGAACCTGAATATATGTGTATTCTCCAGCGCTTTGGGTGATATTAGCACTCACCCGACTAGCGCAGATTGCCCTCCGTGCAAGCCTCCGTAAAGTTGGCGTCGGATCTGTGGGGTGCCAGGATGCGGATGCGGAGTAATACCTAACACACTAGCTCAGTGTGCCGAGAAAGGTGATAATGGAATTGATACAAACCTACGGTAAGCTGGTCAAGTGGGCGAATTAAGTGAGTTCAATAAGAGAAACAAAGTTGGATCAATGTAACACCTCAAGGTAGCAATTGCAATGGCAGCGTCAAGACCAGTATCTAAAGTAAATAAAGTGAGCTGGAAAAATGAATGCGAAAGACAAGAGTGAACCCGCCTCCAAGTCTACGTTCATAGTAACCGCCTTCGAAGGTAAGAGAAGCTCGAACTTACGCTCGAGGTCGGTAGGACTTAATGCAACGATAAAATCAATAGGATGGGACGCACCTGAAGCCAGACCTGAGTGATCGTTCCACTCTCGAGATGGACGCGCGCGACGCGCCGCCGCCGCCGTGGCGCAGTAGCCGTGAGCGGGGCATGAACAGCCATCAAGCGCTGAGGGTCCAGGTGTGCGAGGCGAACAGAGACGACTCTTGGCCGATGGCAGATGCCAACGGCGAGGCTGCGCGTGCCCTCGATGATATGCGTGGCGTCTTGTGTGCGTGCAGGCGTGGCGTGGAGCGCACAACCGTAGTGTTGGTCGAGAGTGATGCATCGGATGGCCGAAGCGACCTGGGCGATGCCACAGTCGCGCAGTGCATGGCTTTCGGCTTCGTGATACGGCGTCTGGAGAGGCTGTGGTAAGGGCGCAGCGTTGCGCAGGCGGCGTGGTAAGGCGGAATAGTTTCGTTCGGAGGGCGACGGGTGCCGGTGGTCATGAAAGACGTCGTGGACGAGGTTCGAGGGCGGCGTGGAAGGGGCAGGCAATGGGCGATGAGAGAACCAGTGTGAGTTGGCGGCGATCCAGAGCATCGTCGGCATGCAGCACGACGCACTGGGGGCGGCCGAGGCAATGGAGTAGATACCGAGAAGGTAAAATGACCATACGGAGGGTTAGCATACGCAGCATAGGACGGGCGGGGGCATAGAGTAGGAGTTTGGTAGCATCGGACGCGCTAGGGGCGTAGCGTGTAGCGCAAGGGATGGGGGCGCGGCGCCATGGGGCGGGCGGCGGCGATGTGGCGTGAGACGGGCAGCGGCGTACCGTAGGGCGAGAGGTCACGTGGCGTCGGCAAGCGAGAAGGTGGCACCACACGCGTGCAAACAAACGCGTCGCGTGGACGGGGCGGTGGCGGCGGCGGGGCGGCGGGATGGCAGGGGAAATAAGAATTAAAACCTCAGTTCAAAATCTCATAATACCAGACTGAGAAGTAGTCTAATGCGAAGAGCAGAGAAAGGAATGCGCCGACTCGGAGCACGGCCAAATTCCAGTTTGTCCCCTTCAACACGCGTACTATCCGTACCCTCTGCATGATCCCGTTCTCTCACACAATCGAATACCTTCCCGTCCAACGCCCCACTTTCCCGTAGATGCACCTCGCACGAGATCGAAGAGTTTACACCGAAAGCGTGCTCAGCGGCGGCACGCAGGGGCAGTGAGAGGATCGAGCTTGCGGAGAAGAGTGATGCGCAGAGCGTGGTGAGGATCGAGTGGAGAGGGAGGTCGACATCGGAATGTGCCCAAACGGGCAAAGCGCCGCTCGCCATGCACGAAGACAAGTGTGCGAGGATGTAGATAGGCATGAATAATTAATCGGCGTGCACGGCGTCTCCTTAGCTTCCCGTAGACAGACGCTACAAACGAAGTAGCTCGTATCTCGCATGTTTGTACCTCAAGTGCGGTGATATCGAAGACCATAGTCTCCTCGCCCGAGTAATCGACCCGACGTAACCTCGGCGCGCGTGCGCACTCCACAAGCCGAATATGAGTCAGGGGATCCGGCTGATATCGAGGTCGATGAATATGGTGTTGGCGCTGAAAATTCAGGTAAAGGGTTGCCTCGATCGCGGCAAGCAGCCGAGTCGGAGGATCGAGGCAAAGATGAAGGCGGCAGTAGCGATACGGCGGTCGAGGTGGAACTCAGAGGCGGAGAGGAAGGGCTTCCTGAAGGCGGCTCAGAGCAGGAGAGCAAGGGAACCGCGTGGAATTGGATGGATGCCGTTGATTGGAGGCAAGATCCTTGAATTTCGCAGTCAGTTGTGGCCGAAAGAGTTGGGTGAGTGACTTGATCACATTGGAGCGGTATGGGTCGGTTTTGGTGCGCGTTGGATGTGTTGCGCGGTTTTTCCGAGCCATATCCAGCTATCCCCTGCCTTTCTTTCCCCTCCTCTCGAATTCTATGTCCTTGTCTGAACCCTAACCCGTAGTTTTGTCGTCTCGGTGCGCGAAAACGCGGCAACTACTAGGCTCAAGGACCCGTTACCGAGGGTGCACAGCTCCACGACATTCTTACCCCGCCTTCCCAGCCTCTGCTGCTTCAATCTGGGACTCGTGGTTTGCGATTGGACTTGGTGTCAAAGCGCAGGTACGTAACCTCCGCGTTCTTAAACTCTCTGCAGTTGTTACCCTCTTTTTAAAATTACGTCTGGCTGCACGCTTTTTAAACTCCGCTATCAGCGCTCCGGCACTACTTGCCGGTGCGTGTCTTGAACCTTACCTTCGGAAGAGTTTCAGAGACGATCGCCAACAAATAGGCTAGGTGGATGCAAGTGAGAGTGCGAGTACCCGAATTGAACTTATAAATGTTGGTTGTTCAATCATAGTCCATCGAATTACAGCTAGTTGCGGAACTTAGGGCGCGGCCCATTTTTTTTATTTTTATAGATGTTTCGGATATTTCAGCTCTACTGAGCTCAGTTCTTCACCGATTCCCTTGAAACTATGATCAATAGATTTGCCTTGCGATTCCGGAGGGAATTACGTTCGAAAATACGTAAGAAGCGTGGGAATTGCCTTTTTCGGCAAATTGTGAGGCATCTTCTCCTATCAGCTCTAGCATTAAATCTACTGATCCGATTGACTTAGTTTTTGGATATATCATACTTATATGCGTTACCTAGGATGTATCGTGCCCAGATAAGGATTAAAATGTTTTGTTCACATCTGGCATGGGACTTAAAACTGATTGAAATTGAATACAGTAAGGCTTTTGAATAATGAGGTATTTTGACGATCTGGGCACGACACATCCTAGGTAATGCATATAGGTATGATATATCCAAAAACTAAGTCAATCGGATCAGTATATTTAATGCTAGAGCTGATAGGAGAAGATGCCTCACAATTTGCCGAAAAAGGCAATTCCCACGCTTCTAACGTATTTTCGAACGTCACTCCCTCCGGAATCGCAAGGCAAATCTATTGATCATAGTTTCAAGGGAATCGGTGAAGAACTGAGCTCAGTAGAGCTGAAATATCCGAAACATCTATAAAAATAAAAAAAATGGGCCGCGCCCTAAGTTCCGCAACTAGCTGTAAATGAGTCGAGCTCACCACATTGGGATCATCCGCGGACGCCGAACGAAGCGAAGCCACGTCTTGTTAACCTTTCAAAAGTTGAACAGAAAAACACGGTGTTGTGATCTTTGAAATAAGAACCGGCCGACATCCGAGTCGCGTCGCTGTGGATTCGGCGGGAGGCATTGTCACTTCAAGCCCCATGAGCTGACAAATGCTTGCCATTTCTCGCTGAAGCGCCAGTGTTTCAACGTAGTTCTGACACAGAACAATCCCCAAACTAAGAGTGAATTTCCAGCTCCGAGGGAGTTTGGGCGGCCCCTTTGCGGTGATCGGCGTGTGCTGTCAGAATGCTTCCTTTCTTCAAGCTTCATCTCCGTGAGGTAGGAAAAATGTCTTATATACAAACAACGGAGTTTTGAATCGAATTGAAACCACTCCAACACGGGAGAGGAGACCCTAGGCCCAACAGCTGCTTATGATCAACTTATGATCATAAAGCTATCTCGCTCTCTTTTTACCCATGGTGTTGGTACCCAGAGGCTCTATCAGTCATCACTCCGTCCTATCAACGTATGTCGGCTTTCTTCTACACCACGGCAAGGAACACAATGATCGCCCTGGTAAAAAGCATGGTCTCCCGTAGACTTCTGGCACCTGTCAATGATGTATCTCCCTGCAAACAAGATGGAAAAAGTGAGCCTGCGGAATATCTGGTATGGGAGAACTGGTAGTTTGGAAACCTGGAAGGACGCGGACTTCCCTTGTCAAGTACTTGCAAATTTTCCAAGGTCGGCAAAACAACACCGCTGTGCCGTCACGCGTCATGACATAAGAACAAACATCACGATCATTTTGATTCCTTTCCTTCCTTGATCACTGACTCCATTCTGCCTCCTCGCGCACCTGCGCGGAACAAGATTTGGACTTCCACGGAGCCTTCTCTTCCTTGATATATCATCTGTCGTCATTCAGCCTTCAAGTACTCACGCCAAACTTATGCCGAAAAGGATGGCCCTGGGCCACTGAGCACTCACGACCCTCCAATCCGGCCCCAGCTCCTACCTGGAAAATTCCAAAATATACGACACTGAAACTCTATGTTTGCCTGCGATGTGGGCTGTATGTACAGATATCGACGGCCATCAATTTCGAAAGGAACAACCTATCACACTTTGGACGCCTCTCGGATAGTTTCATCTCGGGACAGATCTCGCGCGTCTCTCTGTAACACATCCATCCCACGATCCGGCAAGAATCCTTCCAAAGCGCTCTGACTCTGTATAAGAGTCTATTTGTCGGCCCACACACGCCTTCATCAATCCCACTGTCTTTCCGGCGTCTCGACGACCCCACTGTCTTTCCTTCTCTACGATTTTACTGATTCCCTCACTGTCTTTGCTGTTCTGCGATGCATTCTTTCTCCATGACCTTCGCCCTCGGGCTCATAGTATGACCTCTGGATCTTCCTCGTCTAACGTTGAGCTCACCATCCATTGCCA